TAGTTACCGATTCAGACTCTGACCCGTACTTTTAGCTGTGGCAGTATGGAGTATGCTTCTAGAGATGTAAGACGAGGCCTGGGCCGTGCAACATGCACACTGCGGACTTGGTCGGTAAGAATTTGCTCGTTTTCCGCGGCGGCGATGGTCGGGCGTCTGCCCGGCATGTGCCTCGTTGGCCTCCCTGCAGCTGAAGTGAACTTGATGTCGCAGATATTTGAACGATCTGCACGGCCTTGACTTGGACACCAATAGCTGGACCTGACCCGAGACAGGGATCAATCGCTTGGGCTTGGGCGAGCCATGAAGCTTTTCCTAAGGTTCTCCGTGAAGACCTCGGGCGAGCAGCCGCCTCCAAGAGCCAATCATGCTTCGGCAGTTGATGATTACAGGAGCCCCAGGGAGCCCAATGATGGCATCAATCCTCTGCCCCTCTCTGAACGCATGTCGGGCAAGACCTTTGGTGTTCAGCGTTTGCTATGTGCAGGCTCTACATTTTTGGCGGTTGGGATGGTTCCAAGCGGCTGAACGACCTCTACGTTCTGGTGCCATGCTAATCGTACTCAGCGCCCGCATCCATGCAAGTTTACCTGGGCCAGGATAATCGGGATGGCGTGTGGACCATGCTGAAGCCAACAGGATACGCTCCGCAGGCCGCCAGGAATGCCCATATTTGACAGGGTCCTCAGATGCCCGTCTGAAGGCCCGGGCTGGGATGACTCTCTCCATTATTCGGGACTGCCTGGCCCTTGCTGGAAACCAATCTCAATGCATCTTCGTGTCATCCAAGGCTTGTACTTGTTCGGCGGCTCGGGGCATACCACGCGCTGCTTCAACGTGCGAGCCTCGCATCGCATCCGTGCCCAAAACCATGGTCATGTCTAGTCATGTCGCAGGACGTACACGTCTACGATCCGGAGGAGCAGGCAGCGTAATACAGGCAGCGCATTGCAAAGCTTCTCAGCTGGCCCTGACAGGCCTGGTTCCTTTGTGTGCAGTCGCCCTACGAAGCCGTCGAACGTACGCGGCTTGGTGCTGCCAACAGCAGAAGCCTTGTACGGCACCACTGCAGCTCTACAGCTCAAAGGGGAAGTTACCAACGTCTGCTCCAAGCTTTGTCGCCTCGTATCTCTTGAGCGTGATTTCATTATCGTGTAGGAGCCAAGGT